CACAATTAGAATGCAACTGCCAAATTGTGACCTGCCACTGAGATTGAGTTAATAATCTGGTGCACTGTATGGAAAGCTCTCTTTCAGAAAAGTATGCAGAGTGGGATTGTTATTGCTCTGCCATCATTTGTTACAACGTGTCAGTAAAGTCGGCACAATTATTGTAATTTTCCTCCATAAATCCTCACCCTTTGAAGTTCAGTAATTTGGTTTAGTTAAGAGTTGGTTGGTTGGTTGGTCTCGTTCGTGTTGTTTCACATGTCCAGCCAGAGTCAGAGATCATTCTTGTTCCACATAACCCGAAGCATGTAGCAAATCCAGTTCATTTGTTGTTTTATGAAGTAATTGACAGGAAACTGATTACTTGCACGAAGCGAAGAAAAGGTAACGAACTATGGAATAAGCAGGTATACGACTCACCTGGTTGGCAATAATGAAATAGTGTACCTGCAAGTTAAAAGACATAGATTTTTTAATCAATATAATTCAGACTGGATTTTGAATTCGACCGTCGAGGAATGAATATCAGTAATGAAGAAGTCATAAAAATTGCAAAACATCATTAGCACTTTTCATTCCGGAATGAAATGAATCAACAATTACATTATATTCATACGTGATAAATGTGCATGCGTATAAAAAAGCGGTCAAGAAGAAGAAGAACCAATAACCGCCTAATTGCTAAATTAATGATTTATTCGGCCCATGCAAAGTGAAAGATCCAGTTTTTCTTTTCGAATGAATTGACATGTTTAACTTTTAATTTGATTTGTTACTCGAATTGTAATTTGATAGGATAATTTTGTTTTATGAGGTCGGCTTTTTTGTGCGATTTTGAGTTCAATGCTTTTCCAATTGTTTGAACAAAAGTGTGGAATTTGGATTGGACTGGACTCGTCTCAGATTTCGGCAAGACGTTTAAACGTTTTCCTATTTGGGGAGGGATGCGGATTCGGATTTACGCAATCAGTGTTTCGGGTGGAAGTAAAGTAACCAGTTTCAAGAAATAACGGGAAGAAAGTGATATCTTGCAGCCATTTTGACCTGAAAGAAATGCAAGGCGTAAGAAACTACGTCCGCTAGCGCTTGGCTACATGGCGAATATTTCTTGTATTTTTTCGCAATTTCTTGCACCTTGAATTTCTTTTTTTACAGAGCAAGAAATGTAGTAAACGAAACACTGGCCACGATGGGGAAAGTGTATCTGTAGTAATTGATAATTCTGTGGGAATCTGTGGGGCCCATACATCTTATTAAATGCCTAATAGGCCACCACAATCTGACACTTCTCCCCCGCACTGAAGGAATCCAGGAGAGTCGTTGTTTCCATTGTGACTGAATAAAGTAGTCGTGGTGGTAATGGCATCGGTGGACTTACTCCGGAACAACTTTACTTTGTCCAATCTCACTCGCTGATAATGGGAAAGATTTCCAAGTTCATCTCCCCTCGTACGACGACCACCTTTTCGCTCGTACTTTACCCAAATTCTTAAATTACAGGGAATCTTATCCCAGCGGACGTAACGACGAGAAAGTGGGGACTTTTGTTCTTGCAGAGAAAGTGCAACTCACTCTCTTGTTCAAAGAAATGACCAAGAGGGAGAGACATTCCAATGGTCTCTCTCTGGGTGGGATAAATGCTCCGATAACATGGCGAGTTTGTCGGAGTAGAGAGATAATAAAGCGGGACAACGTGTGTAACAAGGGGGTGAAAGCAGGAAATATCCAAGCGTTACAAATATGCGTGGCGTATTGTCCGGTTGATTGAAGGATTCGTTCAGTTTTCGTGACCTTTGAGGTCAAAATGGAGGTTACCATTGAATTCGTGGTTAAAGTTCTTATTAAATTGACATACATAACGTTATTTGACCATTTTTGACCTTTGTGACCGTGACGAGTGTGAAATTGAACTCGCCCTTCGTCTTGAGGTTAGGAGTTTATATACGTTTCAAGTTTGCATTTACGTATTATCGGGCCAAAGGACAGACGGACGGACAGACAGACATGACAATCTTATAAAGAGCTTTTCTCCCCTTAATAATGCTCTTTGGCGTACTTTGTTCATGGATTGGCCATTTGCGATGGGTCCAAGTATCCCATCGAGGAGGTGAATAATGTGGAGACGAGCAAAATGGTACTTTCTCTATTTTGCAAATCCTGAAAATATTTTGCCAACTTTTGCACTAATTTTCCCCCATCCAATGCCGACCTTACACATGTAACTAGTGGTAATGTTTTAAAAGTGCATTGTTTTGCAAAAAGTCGGCCAGGAATTTATTAAGTATTCTGTCTGAAGAATCCAAAACATTTGTGGAAATGGTTATGTTCCCGTCGGAGGAAGAGAATGTTTCGCTTATTTATTCGCACAATTTGGGACAAAGTTGACTGCGCGTAACTATGTGCTGCGGTTTAGTGAGCTACTTTCTCCCAGAAAGCCGTCTTCATGCAGATTTCGTGACTCCTTCTTTTCTTGCGGGGTTTAGAAGAATAAGTTGACAATATTCGTGATTCGAAAATGTCTAGAGACGCGGGAACTTATGAATTTACGAAATCTGCAACGTTTTGTCACGTGGTATGTGAAACTCCTCTCCGAATAATGAAGCGTGACTACGTAGGGTACTTACTACATGTGGTCTCTCTACGTACCAGCCAAGACTGCAAAGTGGTTGAGGGCGAGTATGACCCCCATAGGAAATGGCTAAAGAAGAGCATTAACATGTTCATAAATTTCCGTCGGCTTCCTTCCTTCTGCCGTTTCACGCATTGTCAACCCCACGACCTGGAGGGGGCTACTTTCCTAAACTGCATCATTTTATGGGAAAAAATTTGCTGATATTTTCAAAATTTCGAAAGAAACAAAGTGAGTCCGGAGGCTATAATTATTCTGGAGTGAGTCGTTGAATTTCTGAAAATTGTCAATAACCGGGCATAAAATAAAGAAATAGGCTGGGGTATAGTCCGGTATAGATAAATATTAGCCTCGCCTCGTCTGATATGCATCCCATTAAAGGAGTCGAGGCTCGGAGTGGAGTGGACAGTTTGGAGATTGAGGGAAAGTTCTTTTTGCGCTTTCTCCATTAAAATCATGGCTTATGGGATGAGATGGGATGGAAAAGTGGGAACATTTCTTTCATAACTTGGTCAACTCCTGTTTTTTTTATTTTTATGTAAGAAGAAGGGTCCTCACAAGAAAATGGGACAAACACACGCACCGATTTTTTGGGCCATGATTTAGTCTCGAAAATTAAAAAAAAGTTGTATATCATGAATTAATAAATTACGCAGTGTTTCGGGTGGAAGTAACCAATTGCAAGAAATAAAGGCAAGAAAGTGGTTTCTTGCAGCTATTTTGACCTGCAAGAATGCAAGGCACAAGAAACTACTTCCCGCAAACGACACGTGGTTAGATGACGCATGTTTCTTGCAGTTTCTTACCTTGCAGTGCAAGTAATGTAGCAAACCCGCAAGAAACGAAACTCTAAAATCACGATATTCATGATTGGACCTAAAAGACACATTTTTTATGTAACGTTTAGTCGAGAAGATGCCATCCCGGAAGGAAGAAGTAACGTAACGTAGGTCCATAAGTTGCATGTTTCATGCGTAATGTGATGGTTTATTGTTCTCTCAAACTGTAGCCTTTTTATGGAAAGAGACACTTTTCCACAGATGAACAATTGTTATGAACAACATTGCATTGCATCACTACATACTTTTTAGACGGAAGGACGTTACATTTTGCTTTTTTAACAACGGATGAAATCATGCGTCCACTTATACTTTGTGCTTAAATGGTTCCTCTCTCTCCGCCTGAAGGAGACAGCGCCTGGCTGTTTTGGTACGTAGACGACGTACATTTCCTCTTCCGACATAAAAATGACCACTATCTTTATCACTGGACGGGGGTTGAGTGCCCACTACTTACTTCGGGTCACCCACCACCGTTTGATGTAAATGTGGCCAGATTTTCGTCTCCTTTTCTGACTTAAGGAAGCATCTGCTGCAGAAACAAAGTAGTCAAATTGTACTGGAACACTTTAATAAATTAATTATGGCAAAAATCTGGCCTCCAGAAGCTCCACAATCTTAACGAAATGGGAATTATCTCCCAAATTTGAATTTACTTTCCCACTTTTTCAGGGAAGTGACCAAATCTTGAGGAATGAATGCCATATCGGACTATCTCGTAAAATGGACCAGTTTTCTAAAGCATTGGTCTTCAGTAGCTGAATTCACACACATGAAGATATGTAAAAGAGGTGCTGAAAGTAAGTGTTGTGATCAGAATGTTATCAGCGAGCAGTCTGGAGCCATTTGAATATCACGTATTACTTATGTACGTATGAAATCCGTCTCATTTTCATTTTCCAACATAAAAAGGTCCATTGTCTGGTGTGTTGTGCATATCGTATCTTTTTCATATCGCTAACAAAGAAGAGAGAGAGCAACATTCATTGAATCGAGTCTAATGGTTCAATAAAAACACGACTGTCTGCTCCCGTAAACTGGCCGAATATCCAGTGTTTATCGTAATATTATGTAATATTGTTGTCGAGTCAGGAATACGGTATCATCATCGTATTCTCGTTTTTTTCTCAGCCTTCTCCTCATTGTAATAATAATATGTAATAAGACGGAAAATCCTCTCTCTCGTGGAGTGCAGACTGTGAACACGTACAAAAAAGATGAATAGAAATTTTAAAATCGTGATCACTGCAATGTAAATAAACAGTGGTGCAAATATTTAATGAAAAGTTACTCTCTCACCGGCCTAGTAATTTTAGGAGGGGATAATAATAAGGCAATATTTCTGAAAATTTGAAATATTTGGTTACTTGCACATCTGTACATTTAATGATTTATTGGGACGCACATGGCACGAAAAATGAGCAATTTTTGAGGTTCTTCTGCCACATGAAGAAGAGATGATGATGATGACGACGAGTTTGTGTGTATGTAATGGAACTAATTTTTTATTCCGATTTTATTTCATTCTACAGGAAAAAGGATGCGGTTTTCGAGAAAGTTGCGAGTCACGTTCTTCTCATTTGAGTCCTCATTTGGACTCCTTTTGTTGGTCAATCTCACACTTTTGTGGGGGCATGGAGCAGTCGTCTCCGGTCTCGCTGTACCCGCGACGGATTCTCACACCAATCTTTCCGGTAAGTTTCTAATACATAAATCTTATTATTGCGCTGCTTGGGTAAATCTGAATTGCACAATTTGACGCTACATACATGCATACACGTCCGGTTCCAAAAAATTCTTAAAATATTTAAGAAAATTCGATCTGGTTATGGACCAGTAATTTGACTGTTGTCTTATTTTGGGCCAGTTGCATAAATTGTGTATTAGATTCTATTTATGTATTAAGTGGGGTTCATCGCTTAATGTGATCGTCCGTCTGTCCGTCCATAAGCAGGATACTTTCAGAACGCCTCAACATAATCAAATGCCGTTTTCGCCATTGTGCTTCTAGGTCTTATTTCTCGGTCAATTTCGATAATGGGGTAAATCGAGTCACCCCCAACGCAACAGAGGGGTGTGGCCCAAAATTAGATTTAATTTAAATTTTCATATATGGTGTCATTTTAAAGGAAATTTCAATATTTTTGACCTCCGATGAAGCTATGACCGTAAGGAGAAGGTCAAAGGTCAAAAATGCATAATTTTCATATAGTATCATTTTACATTTTCCTGTATAACACCACTTTTTCATGTTCGTTTAAGACGGTTTATTATTCATCCCTCCGCTGAAAATTCATCAAGTCTCTTCTTCCCTATCAGTTTCTCCATCTCGTTTCATTCCTCACTCTTTCTCACCACGAACCATCACCACGTCGTATTTACGTACGTCGCATCCAATTGGGACGGATGAATAGAGAGTGAGTTGTACTTTTTGAATTTAATTCAACCTGAAGTTTACATCTCCGAGTCGTCCGAGTCCGAGATAGATAGTTGGATAGCGAGACAAGAAATAAATTCATTTACACCTTCTTCACCTCAAGAAAACGGAGGGGATGCACAAAGCCATTTTCATTTTCAAAGTGTTGATTTGATGTTGATCGTTGATTTGATTTCTGAACTTATTGAGTTTATTCTCTCTCTCGCCCTCCTATTCAAAAGCCAGAAGAAAATGTGAGTTGGGCGAGCAATAAATGTATTTCTCTCGTCGATGTGATTACAATCCGATTCAATCGAATGATGTTTGTAAATTCTGAGGTGCTCGTCGTATTCATCTCTCTCCACCACGAAGTAAAAACATGAATCTTCTTTGTGTGACTTGTGAAGAAAACGAAAGGGCCAAACAAACCAAAGCAGGCAGGGCATCATTATAAAATAAAGTGGTGATGATGTTTCAAAAAGTTGCACAAGTTTTTAACCAAGGTAGGCAATTTGGCCGAGGAGAGGAGAGTCTTTTTACGTATGTATTAATGAATAGGCTCCCCTGCTGCAGACCAATGTGTTTTTGAATAATTTTGCGATTCTTATCGACCATCGACTTGAAGTAATAATTGAAATGTCTTTGTTAATCGGGGATTTTCTCACGTTCTTTTGGTGTGCCACACAGGGAAACTTGCTATCTTAATGCGATTCACAGGTGAAAATAAGCTGGGATTTGCTTGCACCACCAACTTTGGATGGAGATTACGGAGGAAAAAACGATGTCAATCAATCCTCTTGATCAACAATTTCCTCACATTTGTAGTATCTAGCACTTGGTTTTTTCTCCACTTAAAGTTGGCTGTTGTGATGTGAAGAAGAAACAAAATGCATCATTTTGGAGAAAAATGAGTCAGATTTGGTGAGCAGAGAGAGTGGGGTGAATTGGACGGAATCGAGACCAGTTTTACCGATAGGGACGCACAATTAGGCACAGACATGGTCTATTTATCTCCATTCTTTCCCGTTCAATTCCATCCAAAGCGAAGCAGCAACCTGGATTGGCTTTTGGAACAAAAAGTGGATGATACCGAAATTTCCTACGTGTTCATGATTCATTTTATTTCCTGGGAGGAGGAGGACTCTATATCGCAATCTCCTCACTCCTTAATGTGACGCTATTCAACACTTTTTATCTTGAATTCTCCTACAAAAAGGGTGGATGAGGAGCAGGTCATTATGCTAGGCTGCCTTCTTCTTCTCCCTCCTCGAAAAAAAACAAGAATGCTCCAAATGTTTCACTCTTAAGAAAGATCCCATATCCACCCATGCACCATTATGCGCGTCGATAAGAAATGTATGCAAACACCGTAACAACGCTTGTCATGAGGTACATATGTCAAATTCATGCATGCACGTTGTTCAGTGAAGAAAGGATTGTTTGAAAACTTATTTAGTTATGCGTATCCATTGGCCATTATTCCAGTTTTGGTGTATACATTTTCCTTCTAAAATTACCTACCACTTTGGAAGAATGGGTGTGGATTGGGTAGGATTTTTTGCTGGTGCTGCTGCTGCTTCTGAGAGAGGAAATCTCTCGTTTTGTGTTGCATGTTGATTTGGCTGATGGAGCGAATCGAGTGGAACGAAGATTCTTGTAAATTATGTGCATTAGGATTTGCGTGCTTTGGGATTTTTGGAAATTTATGAGAAATTTGTGAAATATGGGCAGACTTGCTAGTTTCTGGCTCGGCGAACTGGTGCGCTCACTTACTTAACTTAGGTGTGGTGGTTCGGCGCACCAGAAATTAGCAAGTCTGAATATGGTGGCAAAAAAATAGGTTCATCTCTAATTATTTATATACATCTCTCATAAATAAGTTTGCAATAAGCTTTTGCATGCTAGCACGAATTTAAGCTTGTTCATTTCATTTATTTAAATATATAAGTGTCGCATACATATTTACATACGCCCACGAGGTTAAAATTGTATATATAGATATCTAAAAGCAACACTTTTCCTCCTTTTTGATCCTCCCACCTGTTTATTAGATGTGGGTCAACTCACTTTACGCTCTGTCTGAACAAGCATGCAGATTTCTCCTCCGTTGTTTTGTTGCTTTAAAGAAAGGTTGTTAGTTCTTACGTGCGAGAGATGCGGTTTTGTTCCGCCGGTGGTTGGTGAAAGTAAGCGAAGCATAAATTTCAATTATGGTTCCACTGATAGTCTCATGGTTCAACTAATTTTGATGAATATTTACCTTTGTCTTGTCAACCAGACGGGAAACCATCCGCGCATAAGCGTCCATACACAAACACACTTTTATCAGTGTGTGCTATCCTGGACGACCTAACCACTTTACTTACCCGGCCGGGCAGGCAGGTGGGGTCGGTCGGTCGGTCGGATAGTTAATGATGATGGAAACGGGATGCGATGAGATGGGGCAGTTAACAAATAGATTGGATTCCGCGGATACCGCGGTTCGTTCTGCGTAATCAGATATTCCATTAACTGGAAAAGTTTATATTTATTCGGCGTCTCCTGCTGCCTCCGAGCTGGTTCAGAGAGCCATGAATTCTTCCTCCTCGCAGCAGGTAGTTGTGGAGCAAAAAGGAGAAAAACTTTTGTTTTTACTCCACTTTCACGTGTTTATTCAAGGGTTAAATAATACACCAGCAGTTGTTGAAATGGGGTAATAGTTGAATAATTAGTTTCACTCGGGTTTAAATTATGCAGTGGTGATGGATGAGGAAATTGTGGGTAAATTAGAATTTAGGAAATCATCTTCATCATCATGTGAGGTTGTCGTCGGGGATGAAGAGTTGTTACGTGTAAAACTGACAGTGTTTCGGACCACTTGCAAGAAATAACAGGAATAAAGTGATTTGTTGCAGTTATTTTGACCTGCAAGAAATGCAAGGCGCCAGAAACTACGCCCCGACGCTGTACTTCATACGGCGCGTGACTAGATGGCGCATATTTCTTGCACTTTCTCCCAGTTTCTTGCACCTCGCATTTCTTGCATTTCTTGCTTTACACTGCAAGATATGTAGCAAACGAAACACTGAAAACTGGCCCCACTTTACCCCATAAATTACGTAACAAGCATGCAAGAACTACAACAATGGGAGCTCAAACATATCATCCTCACAAGACAAGTAGTGAAACACATTCATTCCTTATCTCGAATGAAAGGGGGCTTATCTTTGTTCCGGCGCTTATCTCTGTTCTGTTCCCTGTTCTCTTTCGCCATCCTGATTAGCCAGGATTGTGTCTGACTACTGGAGTAACAGGAAGCATACAAATAGTCGAGGGAGCAAGTTCTGCTTTCACTCTCTTTACAAAAAGTTGTAGTATAAAATCCCATCCAAACCGTACCGGGCTCGAATCCTAATTCTCCTCTCTCTTGGAAAGGGAAAGTGCTGGTGGTGTGGTGTGGTGATTATCAGGCTGCGAGAAAGTGGGCGCAGGAAGTATCATGCAACTTTCATGGAGTTTTCTAGAGTGAAAGTGAAAGTGGCTGGTGCGGGTGATGTGATGTGATGATGAGCATCAGGAAATTAACAGTTTCTCACTACATGTATTTACACACTGACATCCCTTCATTTCACGAGAAATGTGTCATACACTCCTGACAACTGGAGGAGAGTGTTGTTGTTTTGCTGAAAAAGGGAGACCTGTCAAATCATCTGGAATTAAATCACGAGTAAAATTGGTATTGATAAGTCGCAGTTGTCTGGCTTTATCTTGCGGCACAGTTTTTTGTTGTTGCTCCATTTCCAGTCTGACTGACTGACACCAACTGTCAGCCAGCCTGGAACTGTTTAATGTTTGGAAATGCGGGCATATAAAACATTCAACAGCTCATTTCATTTCATTTCATTCAGTCGAAACGTATGTAGTAGATTTGATTTTAATGTCGGAAATTTCACGAAATTTGTTCACTCGAAACAATGCTCAGAATCGGGATGCTTTTGCTTGGTGGAATTTTACGTGTACGCTTGGATGAAATGAGCTTTTGGCACTTGTCTCATAATTTAGGCACGCTTGATGGGACCATCATCAAGGCATTAAATTCTTACTAAAGTCTTGAGTTGGAGGAAGCAGTTGGATTGAGTTTCAGGCAGAATTTGTGTGTGATGTAATACTGCCAAACTTGAAATAGTTTCGCTCATTTGATACCGTAAAACAATGTGGTTACGTAATGATTTTAAGCATAAAAATTTCAGAGCATGACTGTCTCTAGCAAACCCTCCGTCACCTGGAAGTTACTTGTGA